GTCCTGTCTTAACCAAAACTATCTTAACTCTGACATGCTCAAGTAACCTTTGAAATTGTCAAGATTCTTTCCAGAACCAGAAAGGCCCCAAATAAAAGCAAGCTTTGTTTTGTCTGTATCATTTGTAGTGTGTGCAGGAAAACATGGTTATGAATAATTGACCAACAGCCATGTATTTATAAACGTTATATTTGTAGTAAGCTTTGTCTGCATAGGAACAGATATCAAGGCCACTACCAATTATCAAATCTGCATCAAAACCACAATTTTTTTGGTGTCCCCATTGGTCACATGTCTCACTGCAGCTAGCAGACCTCAAGCACTGAAGGGATCCTCCATTCACTGTTGGCATTTCTGTGTGCAGTTACTGCAGCTGGCTGCTTCGGAGAGTCTATTTTTAAGGCCACTTTTTCCATGGACTAGATGTGCTTAATCTTGTCTGGTCACACAGTTTGACTCGCAGTTGGATGTGTCATGTAGACCAATAAGCCAACAGGTCAGGTAGTGCTGTTAGCATAAGCAACCTTGCCTGCAGTGCAATTAGCTGACCAGCACTCGGAGCTGGAAGAGCCCAGGTAACTATGTGATATCATTGACATATTTTAGCATTCATTCTCCCCGTTGATCATGATTTTCTGTAGTACAGCAGTGAAAATGCATATATGGTTTAATTAATTTTTTCTGTGTGTATAGTGAATATAATTTTACCAACTATTAATAACAGAAGGTGTTATATAATTACTGCTAGCAGCCACCAGAGGGGGGACATCATTTATACAATAGCATATCTCTTAGCCTTTTACTATTTTTATTGTACCCATCTGTTTTCAGCATTGTAACAATACCTCTGTAAAGTTACAGTATGATGATGGTTGCAGAAACGGTGCAAAATGTGTCACTAATGTAAGTTTTTTGTCTTTTCAGGTGTTGTATTTCACTATCGTGCAGCAACCAGCAGGTACACTCTGAATTTTACACAAGCTCAGCAGACTTGTCTGGACAACGGTGCTGTCATAGCAAGCCCAGAACAACTGAAAGCAGCCTATGAAGATGGATTTGAGCAATGTGATGCTGGCTGGTTGTCTGACCAGACTGTTAGGTGAGCCATTTGAAAGGCCCCTTGGCACAGTTTCCTAAAATTAGTATGCTTAGCCTGTACAGACTTAAAATGCTGACTTATCACCATAATAAATATGAGCATGCTGCATTTCAGGTATCCAATTAGACATCCAAGAATTGGCTGCTTTGGAGATAAAATGGGAAAGAAAGGAGTCAGAACATATGGGCGCCGTTTTCCTAATGAAACTTATGATGTGTATTGCTATGTGGAACACATGGAAGGTAAGATAGGTCCATATTTACTCTGCACTGCAAAGTTTTAAAATGACTGGAGATTCTAATGTGGAAAGGCAAAGAAATAAGAAATTCTGTGTAAACTAAGTTTTGGCTGTTTTGAATCTGAAGAGAATTGCTGAATGAAGTGAACTTATAGTTTGTGGTCTAGCAGGCCTTCATTAAAGGCCAACGTCTTTGTTGGGTCTACAAAGAGACAGTCAGGTTTAAAGCTGCTATAGTTAGTGCAGTAGATCTCACAAAAGTTGCTGTTGAAGCATCTTATTTTTTGAATGTTATAAAAGGATTTTCAAAGAAATGCATTTAATGTTTAAGAAACTATATATACTATGTATATGTTTAAAGATGGATATAATACATGTGCTAACTGTATTATAGTTTCTAAAGTATGTAATTAAGGTTTTTACATGTCCATGGCAAAAAATTAGACAGATACTTAATTGCAATCCAAGCTTAATAATATCTTTTTAAAAAGGGGGCATCTTAGCATCAAAAAGAAACAAACGAGCAAAAACTTTCCAGTGAGGAATCTGGATCTTCGTTAGCGAAAATCATTGCAATTCCATAGTACAACTGTAGTCTTTGCAAAAGCTGCTAATTAAACAGCTCTAATGCAGCAGAGTGATTATGATTCTGCCACATGGTGACTATGAACCATGGATCATACTGTGAATCCCATGGTACCTTGTGATCCATGGCTAGGCTTTATGATTGGTCTTTATTCAACAAAGAGTTTGATGGTAAAAGGAAAAATAGGGAAATTTTTTCTGTGATTGGGCAGTTCTAGCATGCACAAATCTCTGTATTACAGGTGTGATGTTGTAATTGTTTCTTATAATCTCTCTTCTGGAAGTGAATTTAGCTATATCCTTTCAGTGGGCCTATAGATACGTTCCAGACACCAAATATCCTTATGCTTAGACATTACTGTTACTAGTTAAATACATATACTTAAAATATAAATGCAGAAATAGCCTTTCCTGTCCTGTAGCCTATTTTTTTTGGCTTTGTGTTAGTTATGCACATGAGAACTTCATTCTGGTACAGAGAAATACTTTACAGCCAGGACCAAAGTACATTTTCCATTTACTGCAGTGTTCTGAGTGTGTCACACTGCTTCTGTCTTGACAGATTTTTATTCCATCCAGTTTCACTGTTCTTTCTAAAAAAATACTTATAGTTCCTAATTAAATATCATTTGGGCTGATCCTTGACTGATATGTATTTAGTTTAGTGCTCTTGAAGTCATCAGAACAATAAATCAACCATGGCTCTGAGCAAGCCTGCCTTTGTATGTATACATATATTTGTAACAAGCAATTGCAAAATAAAGGTGCTTCGTGCTTATTTGTATTCTTAGAACAGAAATTAATTAGATCATGCAAAGTTTTCTCCTGCTGAGGACTTATAGAAACTTTAGTCACTGAATTCAGTAAGAGTTTTTCTCCTACTTTTAGTAGCTGAGGATCTGCCGCAGACTATATTCACCTTGGAGAGTTATAAAATACAAGCAATACAAGTCTTGCGAAAACTCAAAAAACATATAAGCTTGGGAACTCTGAAAATTGAGTGATGGAATTTTGTTAGTGCTCAGCAATGTCTTAGTTTTACTTATGTTCCATCTGTATCTGTCAGTGAGTAGCACATCTGAACACCTAGAGTTCATAACATTGATCCTCCATCAATCCTTGATGGGATTGAATTCTGAGTCACCTCTGAATCAAGGCTTTCAAATTCAATTTGTGTGTTTCCTAGCTTACAAAAAGAAGTTTTGACTAATCTGTATCATTCCTGGATGAAGAGCAATGCCTTGTTCCTTTCCCTCTTAAGAACAGAGAAGTGTAACTAATATGGAGAAGCTTATCCTGGATGCATGTGAGCCAGCAATTTCTCAGGGTCAAATATTCTCACTGAGCTTTTAAAAATAAAAATTAAAAAAAGTCAAAACTGAAGCCTATTTCACTGAAGCTAATGTTCTGTGCTCAGAACAACCTGGAATCAGGCCATGAGGTTCACAGAGGTTGCAGTGACTGTGCAGTCTTCTTTGGTGAAGATACACATACGTAGGTTTTCAATTTCTCATGAACATTAACTGATTCTTCTTTGTTACAAAATTTCATTTACCAAGATTTATGAACCAGCTTTCCTCTCTGGATAGCTATACATTTCTGTCCTATTGTTGTGGGTGACGATCTGTTTAAACATATGCATGTCTTTGTGGACTGTCAGCTGGACTGTGGTAATGTGATCTGCTTGGATATGAAACCTCCAGCGTTTAAGAAATATAAACCAGCACAAAATATTGGGAAGATTTGGTCTATCAACCCAGGTAACAATAAGCACGTTCATTTTATCTTCTTCCTTACGTAGTAGCTTCCTGTGGAACACTGATTAAAGCAAATGCACAGTTTCAGCCTTTATCTTAAAGGCTCCATAGCCTGGGGCAAGGGTTAAAGACCTACAAGAACAAGACCAAAAAGGGCTTGTAGGTCTGACTTGAAGACTGTGATTGACCACTTCACCTCTGGGATCCATTGAAGCTCTCCAAGATGGTTACAAAGCCCGTTGTATGGTAACAGAATGCTTGTAGGGATGGATACAGGTTCAGAATGAAACTCTGCAGAAGTCAAAGATGCCTGCAAGTTTCATTACCATCCTTCCCAAAGGCAAAGTGTGTTTGACCTAGCCTTTGTCTGAATGATTCTCAGAATATGCATTTATAAAAATGTTATAGAAAATCTTCTCCCAAATTAGAGAAAGAGCACTCTATCTTAGGCTGGTACATATTGCACGCTTTTTTCTCAGTGAAGAGGGTGTGAGACAAAACAGTGTGATAAATGATGGCTGCATGTTTTGTAATGTTAATAGATAATGGCATTGCTACTAGAAGCACTTTACTGTTATACTGACTTGCAGAGGAGTTAACTTATTCTGTGTGGATGAAGACAAACAGATGCATGTTAGGAAGACACAGTACAGCATCAAGGTATACTGCAGGATAAAATATTCCTCAGTGCCTTCACAGAAGCCTGAGCCTCTGAGCTAGACTTCCTTTCTAAGATGGGGCTAAGGAGCCAAGATGGCTTTGTCTATATAACTGAAGCAGCTTCTGTAAGAACAAAGGTTAATTTCAAATGCAGAACTTTTTTGAAGTTACATAGCATCAATGAGATTACACTTTGGAACCACTCATCCACAAAAGACAGAGGATTAGATAAGATGTCAAGGGAAGTTACTGGAAAGTGAACATTGCAGTAAATTAGATCCTGTGTTTTGTTTGGTGTATTGTAACACGTTCATTCGTTGGTAGAAGAGTTACAGTTCAAGATTTAAGGTTATGCCAAATTTCTAATTGCTCTATCCACCTAAGGCTGACTCTGCAAGGTACAAACTTTCTCTTGTAATGAGTGCTCTCAACACTTCATTAATAACAAAGGACACTCATGGTACTTAGTATGTTGTAGAACTGTGCTTAAACATGATTTTTTCCATGTGAATTCGAAAGTTCATATCTGCATAGCTTATTCTGATTCAATGCCAAATCTATCAGACTTACTTGCACTAAATAGGTCCTTATTTGGAGAGCCTGTGTCAGTGGGATGACTGTTCATGGAATAAGATGGTGTTTGATTAATGATATCAAAATCTGGGCCATAATGAGAATGTCATCACGGAAGTCATTGAACAGTTATTGGTCTGTTGGCTGCTATCAGTGTGTTACCCCAGAAGGCCATAAATGGTGGTAGGAATTCTTGCAATACATTTTAACATAAATGTGTATTGAATTTACAGTACTAATTTGGGTACTTGCACTGAGGATTTGTAGGAGCAACACCATTTCAGTTTTCTTCCTTTCTGGCCATATGAAATCACAAAGTTAGCCAGAGACATGGATTTCTCCTTGAAACACAAACTATTAGCTTAAATTAAAACCAGTTGTCTGGGCTAACTCTTATCTGAGGAAAGCCAGAGAGATTAACTATTTTGTTAAAATACTTAAATATGCTTAAAGTTAAATATTTTGAGTTTTACTAAAAACCAGAAGAATAATTATGGGAAGAATTTAAAATTTCTGAGTTCCTAGTGATAAAAATAAGAATCCGGAGTCAAAATATCATTAAATAGGTACTGGGCATGGTCTCTTATTACAAACTGATTTGCATTCCTCATATTTCACTGCATATTTCAGTGTACTAAGCATTAACAAAAACATTAGGATACCTTTAACTGTGGGAGATGATTTACTAATAAAAAGTTTAATCTAAAGTGATTGAGCCGCCGCAAAGGTTTGGATATAACTCTGAGGTTCTCTTAACACCTCCAAATGAAGCGGTGTCTGCACCAGTGCCTTCTGTGGAATAATCCCTTGAATGGAGATGGGTGATGGGGAAGGAGGGGTTTCCATTCTGCCTTCAGATAAGCGTGTATGTGATGGATTTGACAGTGCTGTGGTGTCAGAGATGGAGACAAAGTGAGATCTGCTTGCCAAATCCCACTAAAGAAGTGAGGGGCTGTGAGTGTGTGGTGCGGAGCCAAAGCACAAACTACTCCATGCAGCACTGTCTTCTGGCCAAAGCCAGTTAGAAGCCATATATGTCTAACAAGCGTATGTAATGTGCAGATGGGGACTCATGCTAAGAAAGTTATTTTGGGGTGGCTGTGGGGAAGATTATACAGTCTCCCTTCCATGCGCCATTTCCCCCTGCCCCCCCAGTGAGTGCAGGGAAGAAAAAGAAAAAACAAAACCAGATGTCTTTTAAATACTTTTCACCTAGTCTCATGCAGTTTTGCTATTGTCATGGAAATTTCTGTGAGAATAATAATAAATAAAGAAGTCACAGTCTAAAATATGGATTCAGGTGAGAAGTTTCTTCTGTGTTTTGGGCAGCTAAAGATCTTCTCTGGAGTTCACTCTGATTCTGAGGAAACAATTAGATTAGCTTTTAAAAGAGGGACACAGAGAAAAGGGTCTTTTCTTCTTAGTTCAGGGCCTGTGGTAGGGTCACATCCTTTGCATTGGCTTATACTGGACACTTCTCCAGCTTTTAATTGTGTGACCTAATGCAGGGTCATGGATCCAAGAGTTCTCAAGAGGGATACAGAGCCCAAATAGAGTAAATCAAAAAGGAAATAATGCCATGGTGGTTTTTATGCATGACATTGTACTCGAGCTCATAACATGATAAAACTCATCTTTGGGGAGGTCAGAAAATCCTGGTGTCTAAATGATTTTTGTGAGAGTAAGACACAAAGGAAAAAGAATCATATAGAATACAAAGTTCATTTTCCCCCTCTGTATAAATAAAAGCCAGTGACACTTTGCAACTACAGCAGACCTCTCTAAGGGTATAGCAGTTGCCATGCCACTCTTCATGCTTGAGGGCAAGCCTATGGGAAAAGTATACTCTTCCAGTCTTGTCAAATGCAGTGGATTCCTGTTCAGCCTATGGTTTTGCATAGAATAGACCTAAGACACTCAGGAGAGTTTAATTAAATTATTACTGCTGTGTATCAAAAAGAATCAACTAACTTGTTCTAACGTGTAAGAGAAAAAGAATTCTTAAGCTTGTCTAGCCTTCTGCTTTAAAGTTGAACCTAGCTGCTTAGGTCTTTGTGGTTTTTCAGTCCTAGAGAGTGTTTCGCAGTAATTTGTGACTTTGTTAAGGATACCTCTTTACCAGTCTGGTGTGTCAGAGAACCAGCCCTTAAGAGTGGCAGGATGGAGGAAGAGAACTGCAGCTGAGACAAGGCTGCAGTTTGGGAAAGAAGGGTAATGCTGGAGCATGAGTTGGATTAATAAACAGGCTAATTATATGTAGCCTCCAAGGCCCCTGCCTATGGTGAAGACAGATGAAACTTTTCAGGTCTGTCTTGGCCCACATGTATCCGAATGTTTTTTCCAAGGGTAGTGGTCTCCATTATTGTCACACATGTGTGGAGAGGAGGGATAGATGAGGGCAGTATCTCTTCCCTCCTTGGTGCACAAGCAGTCTGGTAGTCCTGTTGGTGGCTGCTACTGCCTTTTTGCATGGGCCTTTTGGCCAAAGAGAGAAAGAGAGGAGGAGGAAATGGAAATTCTTGGGACACGTAGTCCTTAAGGTGCAAAGGTAAATGCTTTAGTCCCCAAAGTGGCCATGATATTCCTGCTTCTTGGCACACTTGTTTATGTTCTAGAAATGAAGATTTGGACAGATTATATGTTTCTGAGAAAAAGAAAGTCATGATGGCAGTGTCTCATGACTGCTTGAGCTTTGAACTGCCAACCGTGGGGCTGTGACTAAATGTTTATGAGGAGCAGTAACATCAGGTTATGCTTGCTGATGGGGAAATGTCCTTAGAATATTCCATATAACATCAGAAGCTATGATATTTTGTCACTTTTAGCCACCTTTCATGCCTGACCCAGGGCACCCTGATCTGCAACTGTAGTCACAGAGCCCTTGAGCTCTAGCATCCCTATAAGGGCATCTTTGCTTGATGAGCTTGGTGGGTTCCACCATCTCTCAGAACAGGACTGGAGTTCACCACAGGCTCATTATGCTCAAAAAAGGAGGGCTGCCAAATTCTT